AGATGATTCCTACTCCTTAAGGACTGTGTCACTTTCATGAAAAAAATTAAACAGTACTGAATCAGCAATGAGTACAAAACTCCTGCTGTTGACCCTACTGAGTAAATTTTTCATTGCAATCCAGCCCCTGAAAAGGTACCTTCCACCATTACCAGCTGCTGCCACCCCTAGTGGCTTACCACCATTACTAGCTCCTGCCACCTCTGCTGGACTGCCACCATCAACAGCTCCTGTCATCCCTCCTGGCCTACCACCATTACCAGCTTCTTCCATCTCTGCTAACAAGCAACCATTACCAGATTCTACCACCTCTAAAGGCTTGACACCATTACAAGATGCTACCACCTCTGCTGGCTTGCCCCCTTTAGCAGCTCCTGCAAACTCTGCTGAACTACCACATTTACCAGCTTTTGCCACCTCTGCTGGTCCACCACCATTACGAGTTCCTGCAGCCTCTCCTGACCTATTTAGGTGCCCTGGTGTCACACAAAATGCTTCCACATCTGGGCCTCAGATGCAAAATTTCTAATTTTTGCTGCAGGGCAAATCATGCTTTGTGTCTCTTAGTTTCCAGCCTATTCCAGTGCTGCAGCAACCAAAAATATTTATGACTATTGTCTCTCTGAAATAATACATTCTGATGTTTACTTTAGAATAAAACCTTCCTCATCTCTCCTTTTTACATTACAGACCATTCAAGCTTTTTGCATACTCTCCAGAGAATGTACAATATTTGTGGCTATTGTCTCTGAAACATTCTCTAATTTTTATATCATGATAAAACTGCCCTGACTTAAATTGTAGCCTAATCAAGCTGTTCACATACTCTTCAGCAAATGTACAATGTGGCTTTTGTCTCTGAAATAATACACTCTAATTTTTAAAGCAAAACTAAACCTGCCTTGTCTGTGCTTGTATTAAATGAAAATGCTGATGCAAAAGGTGATCAAACATCAATTATGAGAGCAGCATACAGAAAAGACCAATATAAAGTCTAGTAACCACAATTATATAATGATCACAGTGCTTTTGTGTAATAAACAATTTGACTTCCATCAACTGTTTGACAAAATAAACATGTCAAATAAGAAAGCAACTACCAATGTCCATCAATCAATTGTGAATTGCAGAAATACAAATGAGACTCCTTCGGGTGTTTATCTTTGCCACTATCAACCAATTTGGACAAACAGGTTTACTAGACAGATGGACTCCAAATATAGGAGGTCTGTTTGTGCTTTAGTATGGTAAAATTCCCATTCAGGGTAACCAGGGACTGAAGAACAACCGCAATCGACACTCCAATGCTGTACCGCCAAAGATGCCTCAGAACATCTCCAAACTACATAGAATTCTTTTTGAAATGGCCCCAAAAGTGCATATAACCCAAAGGTTTCTTAATAAAATGCCACAGAAAAGCACTAAAACAATACAAAAAGGCTGCTGTTAGACTTCACTGTATGGTGTGATGATGTCAGCACCCAAAGCTTTTCCCTTTGAATTTCATCATGAATGGAGGTCAATGTAGTCTGAATAACCCTGGCAGTTTGAGAATGTTAATTCGCATGTACCAACAGTGAGGATGAAAGAGAACTTCTCCTAGGAGAGCGGGGATGGAAGGAAGACTGCCTCCTATCTGCTATAGCAATACCATACCTCCATTCATGCATTCATTAAAACAACACTGCCCTACATAGTTTAACATATAAGAGAATTATCTCTACCAGCAATACAGATATTGCACATAAAACAAATAATATATGATATGAAGGCATTACATAAATAATTATTAAATAAAAATACAATAGTGATCCAATGGGACAACAAAACCTCTATTATTAATAGAGCAGTTAATGTTCCAATCAATACTATAACCAAGGAGTGCATAAGCGTAATTCAAATATAAATCTGTCTTCATCTTGGAAATGTCCCTTTTTTATTACAGCCCCCATGTGGATTTAATTAGTCTATGCCCATAAATGTGTTTCCACTTGGATCCTTATTATGGAAGAGTGCATAATGCATAGTGCATAGACACACTGGGGGTTATTTCTGAAAGCTAAACAGTGTAAAATCTGGTGCAGCTCTGCATAGAAACCAATCAACTTTCAGGTTTTATTATCAAAGCTTAACTGAACAGGCTTCCATGCACAGCTGCACCAGTTTCTGAGTTCACCAGCTTTAGTAAATCTCTCCCACTGTGTTCCTAAAACTTGTCTTATATTGCATATATGCTCCCTAAGATGAACCTGAAGTGCCCGTGTGGTTCTGCCCAAATATTGCACACCACTGGAGCAAGTAAGCACATTCGGAATTGTATATAATAAAATTAGCAATTTAATTTGTAAACTGTCTGACGATACATAAAAAAAGAATTATTTTTACCCTATCTAATCTTCCCAACTTCCAAACAGTATATTTCATACAAGGAAAAAACCCTTCATGTTACCAAAAAAGAAAGTTTAATAGGAGGTTCAATAACATTAGGTGTTAATATATCTTTCAAGCAAGGGACTCTTTAAGAGAATGGAGAGATGATAAAACATTATTGCTTTTAAGAATTGGTCAATAACGCTTAAAAATAATTTTAATCTCATATTGGAGTGTGGAATAAGTAGTGTTTAGGGCACAACAGAACCTACTCTTATCCTGTGCCCTATCTGGCTGATCCTGAATGAACAGATTCCTAAGTAGCAGTTGCAACCTTTTGATGTCTCTATTCAAATAATTTTCCATGTAACCCTAGTACCTCCACCTGTTGTTGACAATCATTCATTTCAGTACAATATGTCTGATACAAATAAAATGGCTTTTTAGGGACAGCCTGAATCCCAATAGGATGGTGACAACCATTGGTGGGAACCATTCCTATCCATGCTTGTGAAAAATATTTTGGTCACAGTTTTTACCTCCTTGACCAAAATAGAAATAATCTATTGACTATATTCCTATTTCACCCTAATATCGTTTGTCATTAAGTTGTTTAATTTATAACTATAAAGAGTTCACATTACCACGCCATATGAGGAGGATGTCATCTATATACCTCTTCCAAAGAACCAATTGTGGTTTGGAATTGCCATAGGCAATGTCCTCCTCTGACCGAGCCTTAAATATTTTGGCCATACTGAGGACATACTTAGATCCTATTGCTATAGCCCTACGTTGAAGGTGGTATCTCATCTCAAACTATAAATTGTTTTTCTGCATGGCAAATTCAAGGACCCACAAAATAAATTGATTTTGTACATCAGTTAGACCCTGGAACTGCTCCAAATATTACCCAACTGATTGCAATCCCTGTTCATTGAATATAAAACAATAAAACATCAGCTGCTACAAAGATGTAACCCTCTTTATAGTGTACCCTTTTCAAGACAATGATGGTATGTTTTGTATCACTGAGAAAAGATGGCATGTTTGACGCTAGAGGCTAAGGAAAATTATCTACACTGTTTAAAATTCTGTAAATACTAAGTATTAAGTATGATCCCACATACAATGCGTCTTCCTAGGAGGTTTTAAATACGTATGAAATTTGGGAAGTTATATCACATGATAAGAACCCTAGGTACTGACAGCATTAGAAACAATTTGTATTTAAAAAAAGAAAAAAAAATCAGTATATCCAGCTATATGTTTTTGTAGTTCTCATTTACTTGTATATACTTTAGTAGGATTCCCAGTTAAGGGAATATATAGAGTGGGTATAGAAAAGTATTACCCCCTTTAAAATAATCACATTTTGTTGCTTTGCAGCCTGAAATGCAGAGAGACACAGTGTTTTGTTTTATCCAGCTGCAACTTATAACGTCCAAGTGAAAGATATATTACCAACATGTCAACTTTGCATATATAGACTTTGCAATATTTGCCCGCTCTTCATTGCAGAACTGCTGAAGTTCATTGAAATGTGATGGTGACCATTTGTGGATTGCGGTCTTCAAGTCATTCAACAAATTTTCAATGGGGTTTAAGCCTGGGCTCTGAATAGACCGTGCAAGGACAGCCACCTTTTTCTCATTCAACCACTGTGTGGTAATTGTTACTGTGTTCTTTGGGTCATTGTCATGTTGGAAGCTAAATCTTCTTCCCATTGACAACTTTCTGGCAGAGGGCAGCAGATTTTCCTCAAGAATTTGGTGGTATTTTGCCCTATCCATATTTCCTTCTATCCTGACAAGTGTTTCAGACCCTGCTACAGAGAAACTCCCGCATAATAGGATAATACCACCTCCATGCTTTACTGTAGGAATGGTGTTATTTGGATGCTGAGCTGTATTGGATTTCCGCCAGGCATATTGTGTAGAAGCCAAATCATTCAATTTTAGTCTCATCTGACTATAACACCTTTTTCCATGTGGCCTCAGAATCTTCAAGGTGCATTTTGGCAAAACTCAGTCGTGTGGCCTTTCTTGAGGAGTGGCTTTTTTTCTTGCAACCCTCCCATACAAGCCACATTTGTGGAGAATTTGTGATATTGTTGTCACATGGACACAATGACCACTCTTTGTCATAAATTCCTGCAGCTGCTTTAGAGTTGCTGTAGGCCACTTGGTAGCCTCTCTGACCAAATTTCTCCTGGCTTTTTATCCAGTTTGAAGTGACATCCTGATCCAGGGAGGGTCTGTGTTGTGCCAAATACCTTCCAATTCTTAATATTAGATTTCACTGTGCTTCTAGGCATTGATAAAGCCTTTTAATTTTTTTGTATCCATCTCCTGACTTGTGTCTGTCCACAACTTTATCCCAGAGATCTTTTGATAGAGCTTTGCCACCCATGGTTGCTTGTTTGCTTCAGTTACACTACCAAGAAATGAAATGCTCTAGGAAAGCTCTTTTTATGCAGAGCTAATCAAAATGACCGTAGCTGACAGTCAAATGGCTTTGTGTGCCATTGAGAAGGAGATTAGCTATACCTGATTGAATTTGCAAGTCATTTTTGGAGGGGATGATCCTTTTCCCAACTCAGTGATTCTGTTTTTATTTATTTTATTTTATTTCTGACATATTGATGTTATATCTTTCACTTGGATGTTGTAAGTTGAACTGAGTAAATACAGCTGGATAAAACAAAAACTGTGTCTGTCTTTATTTCAGGCTGCAAAGCAACAAAATGTGATTATTTTAAAGGGGAGTGATTCTTTTCTATACCCACTGTATATCACTATAAAAAATTATATTTTCCATTTCTTTAAAATAGTCAAAATTGTCCAGTAGAACTATCTCCCCATCTTTATTGGCAGGACAAATGAAGAAATCGTTACTTTACAACCAATCGTCTATACCAGGGGTATTGAATTAAAATTCAAGGAGATCCGGTCACGAAAATTTTCTTCAGAGTTCCATTAGAGTTCCCCTATCTACAGTATGTGCCCATTTGTGCCCCCTTGACATAATATGGGCCCGTCAGAGTGCCCCTTAACATAAAATGTGCCTGTCAGAGTGCCACTTAACATAAAATATGGGGCATGCTGATGGGCACATTTTATGTTAAGGGGCACTCTGATGGGCACATTTATATTAGGGGCACTCTGATGGGCACATGTTATGTTAAGGGGCACTCTGATGGGCATATTCTATGTTGTGCCAGAGTGCCCCTTAACATTCAAAGTGTCCATCAGAGTGCCCCTGTAAGACTACACCCTACCTTGAGGGCAGACAGGAGCTGTGTCAGGATTCTTGCTGGACTCTTGTGTACAGGCAGGGAGCAGGAGCTGGAGAGACAGTGAGCTGGAAAGGGTGGGGCGCCCATGTGATGTCATGTTGCCGTGACGACCACCGTGCTCAGTGGCGGATCTGTCATTGCAGACTGGCAGTCTGGGCGGCAGCACTGCTGGGGCAGTTCTCAGACTGCACTCTGCTGTTTAGTGACCGTTGCTCTATACCCTTAGGCTCAGTTAACACTACTACGACCTGAAAGTAAAGCGACTTACAGTGAGACTTTTGCCAGGCGACTTCCTGACAATTTGCTGGTGACTTAATGCGACTTGATTCGCAACTATCATGCCATGGTGACTTTACCTGGGTAATTTTCCTGTAATGTCAGATCCAAATCACATCAGTATAGATAAGGATCTGATTTGGAGGTAAATTCCATTAAAGTTTATGGGCACAAGTCGGATAGAAGTCACCTTGAAGTAGTACAGGAACCTTTTCTAAGATCAAGGCGACTTCAGTAGTGCTAATTAAGACAGCTCTGATTGGCTAACATGGGATTTCACATGTCATGCAACTTGGGGGTCTCACAAGTTGGATCCCAAGTCACAGCAGTGTAAACCGAGCCTTAGTGGTGTTCTTATTCTGTTTTTTGATGTTTAACATTTGGGACTTTAAAGAGATGAATCAGCAAGCTTAGTATGGACTTCTCCTTGTCCCCACCATGGTTTACCCCATAATACTTCATAATGGGATTAGTAATTAACTGTCTTTAGCAATTAAATGTCTCTTAAAATGTCTCTTAAAGTTCTTCACAAACTTATGGATATCTATATGGGCTCATTCACACTGATTTTCAAGAATCGCCCCTCATAGACTCTAAAGGGGTTCAGATCTAAGTTCACAATTTACAAACTTCATAATGGATTCAACGAATGCATTGCAACCTGAACTCAGACATGTTTGCTCATTCCTACAAAAGACTGACAATACACATAACTCCAACACTAGAATATGACAATACACATCCCCAGCTCCTGTTAAATTTGAATATAGCGTGGCTTTGTGTGGCTCTGACTGCACAGCCATTTCAAGTATTTATAGTGAGTTGAGAGTAAAACAACAAGTCCCATTTGTTACCGCAGAAGAGGAACTGCAGTTTTCAATAGAGCAGAAATGCTGTACTCCATTGTTGCTTCCTCCAGCTCCGTAGCTGAATGTCCATACCTTGGTACAGACCTGAGATAAAGGAAGAGTCTGCTGGAGCCAGAGCATTGCAGCCTCAATCAATCCCCTAATCGCATCTGCAAAGCTTTGAAGGCTCAAATGCAAAAATAATAAATGCACATTATTGCTATAAATGCTTTGATTATTTTTTTGCAGATAGGTGGAAGTCTCCTTTGAAGCAGACCAAGACTCTGACCACCTTCTACCTCAAAAAATGTGGGAAACGTCAGTTATGAATGTCATAGCGCTTACAGTAGGCATTCTGCACCTGCTGTTTGCCAAGGCCTAATTTTATAACCATTACATAGTTTTTCTGTCAAACTGCTTTTCTTGTTCCTACAGTCATTCCATTACATCACTATCATTGTAATTAAGTATAGAGAAGCACGGATAGACAGGATAACATGTAAGAACCTGTTTGCTACCCCCAGTGGTTCTTCTCTGCTGCCGTTATCACATTTAAAATTGACACAGCTGTGTGCTTTGCCCGCACAGCCATGTCATTCATTCACAGAGATCTTTGTATGGATAAACTACATGTCCCATCTCTCACCGCAGCAGATGGACTTGTAGTTCTCAGTGGACTACGAGTGCAGGAAACAGCCAATTCTTGACAATTCCTCAGCTTTCTAACTGAAAGCTTGTATAGGCTGAAAGCTGTAGGAAGAGTGTGCAGGAGCCTGCCATTGCACCCACAATCCACTGATCGCAAGTGCAATGATTTGCAGTCTCCCCTGGAAAAAAATAAATGCAGATTTTTTTTTTCCTGAAAAATATCTGCATTTATTATTTTTTTGTTAAAGGTGACCATATCCGTTAATGTTCCTCATATCCCAGTCCAAGTCTAGAGATATTCCGAGATACACTGATTCTTTCTGTGAGATATCATCCTGTTCTAACATGAAGAGACAGAGTGCCAGGAACCAAAGCATTAGTCAACTGATGCTGACCGTTGCAGGTTCAGTTTTAGGGAGACTTGCCAATTGGAAAATCTGCTATGAGACAAAACGCACCTCCCTCCATCACAAATGCTTGTTTTGCCTCCTACTGGACTATAAACAGACTGATTGTCAGAGGCGATGTTCAAAATGAAGAGTACTCCTTGCTTTTATCATGCTTTTTATGCTCAGCCTTATGCTGTGTGGCAGAAACATCTACATATGAAATATAATCATTAAAATATGGAACAATGAAAATCATTGAAAAAATGACCTCACATAAACTTTTTAGTTATAACTGGATACATGCAGTCAATGAGCTTCTCTTTGGTTCATGAGATGAGTATTCATTTTTCCACAATACGAGTGGCGCTTTGTCTTTCAATGTCAATCTTTGTTCTCACAGATCTCAGACACAGTGCAGCTTCTTAGCTCTGTAGTGAAGAGTGACCTGACTCAGCTGGAGGAGATCTTTTCGAAGCGCACAGATTTCCTAGTCATCGTTCGGAACACCAGGCGGGAAGTGGAATCAGTGGCTCAGAATTTGGCAGACCTGTCTTTCTGGAAGGGAGTTGATCTAAATCTAAATGTGATGGCAGAGCAAATTAATTTCATTGAGGATTACAGGTGAGATTTTTTTTTTCAAAAATTTCTAGGTAGAGCAATTTAACCAATTTAGGTCAAGTTATACATCTGACCTAGACATATTATTCCTTATCTCCTTGAAAAAAGGATAAGCACACCTTTGTCATTAAAAATTAAATTGTATGCTGCTCCTCACCGCTGGTTATGTCAAAATATTAATTGCCATGAGAATACAATAAAGATGCTGCAAAAAGAAGGCAAGTAAAACGCAATTTAACTTTCAGTTTAAAATACTGTACATTTCTTGTGCAACAAAACAAAGGGTGGATTTAGTAATGATAAATAGACTGTGCACTTTACAAGTGCAGTTGCTCCAGAGTTTTGTAAAAGTAAGGAGAAACTCTGTTGACTTCCATCATCTAATCATGTGCAAGTAAAAAAAGCTTCACATCATTTACTAAGCTCTGGAACAACTGCACTTGCAAAGTGTACAGTCTGTTTTACCTTTAGAAAATCAACCCCAAAAGGTGCACAAAGTCATAGTTTGTTTTATTAAAGCAGCCACAGCCTACTTAGAAAAGTGTGTTTCCTGCCAGCATGCTGCAGAAAACAACCCTTGCTATCTTTGTGGAAACAGTGGTCTCTCTGTAGAAATCAGACACTCCAACTGCTGAGTCAGACCAATTGCTCTACAATTAGCAAAGAATACACTCCCAGTTAATTGGGAAGCCAGGGGCAGACTGACCATTCGAGCACTCGGGCACTGCCCAAGGGCCCAGGGTCAGTAGGGGGCCCCATGAGATACCCCTGGTACCTTTCATTGGCTTTTTCATAGGCTTTTTTGGGTGTGGGCAAGGACACAGGGGCCCCACGATCCCCTATTGCCCGGGGGCCCCATGAGTTGTCAGTCCGCCCCTGTGGGGAGCTCTACCTCTGAGTCACTAGGGGCGTGCCAGACCTTTTCAAAGAGATCTCTTATTCAACAGAGAGTCTCTGCAGCATGCTGGCAGGGGACAGGTTTTTCTACACAGTTTGTGGCTGCTTTCTAAGGAAAGCAGACTGTATGACTTTGCCCACCTTTGTTTTGATCCACATGGAATGCATTTAGCTGATTTAGAGTGCAGGTTTAGTTGGGTTTTACTTTTGTTTAAAGTGTTACTAAACCCAGGACCCTGTATTCACTATATCTGGTCTCCCACAGTATGCAGAACATGGAAATTCACTTATTTTAGTAAATATAAACTGCTAAATACCTTTTCTCATCAGCAGTATATAGCAGTCTTGAGACTTCTATCAGTTTCCGACTGAGCACTGGTTAAAGCTTGTAGTAGGAGTTTTCATTATCCTATGACTATCCTATGAGGCTGCATGACCCTCTGTGTGGACAGTGCTGATTGGCCCTCTGCCAATCTCATGATCTCCCCCCAAAAAAAAAAAAAAAGACAGATCCCATGCTGAGCAAATCATATTCCTTCATGTGATAAAGGGGCCTTATGGAAGTTGATTCTAGATGTAGTGATGTATAGTGGTAAAACTGTCTAGTTGAATCTTTCCAACCCCTTCACCGCTGTGCCCCATGCAGCTATGGTGTGTAGCGCCCTCTAGGTAAATAGGATTTGTTGTTTTTTTAGTTAGAGGCTTGTCAGAAGCCTGGGATAAGTCATCTTGGAAGTTAGGTAGTGAGTTAACCTCAGGGCAGGCTGGGAGGGTCTAGAGGTCAGGGCTTCTGGAGACCTCCCACTCTTCCAGAAACTTCTGGCACTTTCTGAAAGAGGGGCAGAAGCCCAGATTTGCATGTTTAGGGGAACTTGGTCAATCCCCAGGAAGGAGGCCGGGCATGGTGGCCAAGGTCGACCCTTAAATATGACAGAGCCTCTGCAGCAAGGGGAGTCATGTGGAAGATGCACTGAAGGAAGGTACTGGAGAGTGGAGCCAGGGAGGGGAGCTTACTTAGAGGCTGGTTGCTGGACAGGAGGATCTCCACTGTGCCAAGTCTCCTAAAGAGGACAATCCTGTCATCAGGGAAAGAGCCAGCCCAGCATAAGGCCTGAAAGTAGCTGCAAGCCACCGAGCTAACAGGACAGGACAGTGTGAGTACTTCTACAACCCCTGGGACAGATAAAGGGAGAGGGCCGTCAGGTGCAAAGCCCAGCTTATTCTCATCCAGGGCTACGTCATTAGCAGATTTTGGAATCCCGTGCGAAGGGAAATGCTCAGTGCAGCTGGGTGAAAGAGGAAGGATTCATCTGGGGTTTGAGGAGGTACATCAAGAGGACATCAGTGCTCCTTAACCACTTGCCCTCCAGATGATTTACCCCCCTTCCTGACCAGGCCATTTTTGTGATATAGCGCTGCATTACTTTAGCTGACAATTGCACGGTCATGCAACGCTGTACATAATTTAAATTTATGTACTTTTTTCCCACAAATAGAGCTTTCTTTCGGTGGTATTTGATCACCTCTGTGTTTAATATTTTGTGTGCTATAAACAAAAAAAGACCAACAATTTTGAAAAAAAACAAACAATATTTTTGACTTTTTGCTATAAAACATATCAAATAAAAAAATTTTAAAAATCTAATTTCGTCATAAATTTAGGCCAAAATGTATTCTACTACATGTTTTTGCTAAAAAAAAAATCCCAATACATGTAAATTAATTGGTTTACGTGAAAGTTATAGAGGCTACAAATGGTGGTATAAATACTGGAATTTTTTTTAATATTAGTAATGGCGGCGATCAGCGACTTATAGCGGGACTGCGGTGGGCATTCTGACACTGGGGGGAACTGACTAACTGTCACTGACATTCCCAGTGACACTATTACAGTGATCAGTGCTAATAAAAAGCACTGACACCATACTAATGACACTGGGCAGGAAGGGGTTAACATTTGGGTGATCAAAGAGTTAACTGTGTGCTGTGTGTGTTTTACCTTGGAGACATGCTGCTTTGTATTACAAAACAGCATGTCTTTGCTGGCAGGAGAGAGAGACCTGTGTTGTTTACACACAGGTCTCTCCCCTGTCAGCTTTGAAGGGCGATTGCCGGGTGTCGGCAGGGACTCTCCAGCCGAAACCCAGTGATTGACATTTGTAGCCGCCAATAGCAACGCAGGTAGGGCGGCGTGCACCCTACCCGGAGATGCAAATCATGTATATATACGTGATTTTGTGCAGCCCTGCCGCCCTGTACCAGTATTTCTGCTATAGGATGGCGGGCAAGCAGTTAAAGAGACAGTGCTATTTTTGCTGATCCACATTTTTTTGTACACTGTACAGTTTGCTAAGACGTTTGTCCTCAAGTTTGCAGATCCTTGGGCATCCCATATATCCCTAGTCCCCATCCAAATTGTTAATACCTTAATAAAAATAGCTTGAGGACTGTTTTTTACTGTGTGTGAAGATGTGGAAAATGCGTGTTGCCCTTCAGCGGCTTCTGCAGGGGTCGCGATACAGGTGTCTGATTTTGTTAGCGTCATACTAAAACCAGACAGTTTAGAGGGTTAGAAGGAGGTGATTTAAAATAGTTGGTCTAGGTGGTCAGGAATTTTGAATCCAGCCCCGCTTGTAATACAATGCTGAAAAATTCAGTGACTCAGATGTTCATCAATGATATCACAGGTCATATGTTTACTGAAACAGGAAAAACACTGAAATTATTTATTTTAAACATACAATAATAAAAATCAGAAAGAAATATGTAAGAGCCAGATTAATTGCATTCTGATCTATATGCTATTGTGCAGCAGATAAAGGCCACATTGATGACAATGAAATACATTTCAGGCATGAACCTGTGTCTATGTCATGTTCTCAGATGGATTTCATCTTTGCTTTTGCCTCCTTTGTATCTGCAGGTGGTTGGCTTACATTCTGCTGCTGCTCTTGGATCTGATTATCTGTCTTTTTCACCTTACTGGGCCTGGCCAAGCAGATCAAGTGGCTTGTAATTGTGTGAGTACTCCCTCTAGTGCTACGTTTGTGTACAGCAATCAAGGCAGATCACACAAACAATGTGGTGCTTTGTGTATTATTTTGTAGGGAACACAAACCTTTGTTGCTCCAACTATCACAAATTACAGTGGAGAAAATAATAATTTGATCCTCTGCTCCTCTGCAGATTTTGTAGGTTTGCTCACTTACAAAGAAATGAAGGGTCTATATTTTTTATCATAGGTGTATTTTAAATGATAGAGACAGAATATCAACCAAAAATCCAGAAAAACGCACGATACAAATGTTATAAACTGAGTTGCAGTTCAGTGAGTAAAAGAAGTATTTGATCTCCTACCAGCTAATAATAATTTTGGCTCCCACAGACTGGCTATGTGCTCATGTGGTACACATATTAGTCGTTTCAGTTTAAGGGTTCATGTACATGGGGCGTTTTGAAAACTCTTCTGAATGATGGAAACTGACTGGGTTAAAAAAGTCAGTTTAGCCGCGTTTGCATAACGCGTTTAGCCGCATTTATGCACGTTTGCATTTAGAAGCGTTTTTAAAAGATAACCTCAGGAGAACTTCCCAAAAGCCCAGAATGCACTGAAAAATAGTAAATTCACTAAAAAAGGCTATTAAAATACTGAATTAGTTATTTTACCAAGTCATGCAGTATTTTAGTAGTGAAAAGCATGCATTAATTTTTCAGCTGTCAGCGGGATTCCCACTGACAGTTGAATGTAAAAGAAAAAATTTCCAGCAATTAAAAAATAATTTAAAAAATGGTGTGGGGTCCCCCCCTCCCAAGCCCTTTGGGTCTGGTATGGAGCTTGAGGGGAAGCCCCACGCCAAAATTAGAAAAAAATGGCGTGGGTTTTTCTCCCCCAAAATCCATACCAGACCATTATCAGAGCATGTAGCCCAGCAGGTCAGGAAAGGGGGGGGGCAAGCAAGCGCCCCCCCCTGAACAATACCAGGCCACATGCCTTCAACATGGCGGGGGGTGCTTTGGAGTAGGGGGAGCTCGTCCCCCCAAAGGTGCTCCTAATGACTACTTGTTATGTGCATAAAAGGCACCTGTCCACAGACTCTCTTTCTTCCATTCCGACATCACAACCATGGGCAAATGACCAAAGAGCTGTAAAAGGACATCAAGGACAAGATTGTAGACCTACACAGGGCTGGAATGGGCTACACGCCTATCAGCAAGAGGCTTGGTGAGAAGGAGACAACTGTTGGAGCAATTATTTCCAAATGGAAGAAATACAAAACAACCAACAATCGCCACCAGTCTGACGTTCCATGAAAGATTTTGTCTCATGGCGTAAGGATGATCATGAGAAAAGTGATGGATCAGCCCAGAACTAAATGGGAGGATCTTGCAAATGATCTTAAGGTAGTTGGGACCACAGTCACCAAACAAACCATTGGTAACACAATATGCCGGCATGGATTAAAATCCTGAAGCACCTGCAAGGTCCACCTCCTCAAGAAGGCACATCTACAGGCCCATCTGAAGTTTGCCAATGAACATCTAAATGATTCAGAGAAGGATTGGGAAAACGTGCTGTGGTCAGACCAAAATTGAACTCTTTGGCATTAACGTGACTCGCTGTGTTTAGAGGAAGAAAAATGCTGACTATGACCCTAAGAACACCATCCCTACAGTGGAAACATTATGCTTTTGGGCTGTTTCTCTGCTAAAGGTACAGGCTGACTTTGCTGCACTGAGGGGCCAATGCACAGGGCCATGTGTTCTAAAATCTTGGATGAGAATCTTCTTTCCTCAGCTGGAACTCTGAAGACGGGTTGTGGATGAGTTTTCCAACATGGCAATGACCCAACACATACCACCAAGGAAAAAAATGGAGAGGCTCAGTAAAAAGCACATTAAGGTCATGGATTGGCCTAGCCAGTCTCCAGGCCTTAATCCTATAGAAAATCTATGGAGGAAGCTGAAACATCATGTTGCTAAGCAACAGCAAAGAAACATTAAAGATTTAGAGAAAGTCTGTAAAGAAGAGTGGACCAAAATCCCTCCTGAGATGTGTGCAAACCTGGTAACCAACTATAAGTAACATTTTACCTCTTTGCTTGCCAAGAAATGTTTCTCCACCAAGTACTAAGTCATGTTTTGCTTGTGGATCAAATACTTATTTTACTCACTGAACTGCAACTCAATTTATAACATTTGTATCATGTGTTTTTTTTCTGGATTTATGGTTAATAGTCTGCCTCTATCATTTAAAATACGCCTATGATAAACATTATAGACCATTTATTTCTTTGTAAATTGGCAAACTTACAAAATCTGCAGAGGATCAAATAATTATTTTCCCCACGGTACAGACTCCCATAGTACTTAGCAGGTGGTCATAGCGCGAAGATGCTAAAGAAACTGTGTGGAAAAAAATTTAACAAAAGTGAATATAGTTCTCGTTATTGGTACACTTCAATCAAACTAAAAAAAATAGAATGGGAAAAATGTAAAGGTACACAGCCTGTCTGCTCGGTGCTTGTCTTTTCATCCTAGCAAAACTTGCGTACACCAAGCTACCCTGCTGTGCAAAATCTTGTAGTTGCAAGTAAGAAGGGAAAACCTAACTCCCGAGTCAATGATTCTGCAGCTCCATCCATGAAAATCTTTCTACAGTGCAATATATGGCAGTCCAGATAAAAGAAATCTATGGTCACAGGATATCATTTTATTTTATATTATCAGTATTATGATAGCAATACAGACAATAGTTATTTTTGACAATCCAATATACAGGGGTTAAATGTGACAACACTTTTTCGTGTTGAAAGCAGAAGTGATGTAACATTCTTTTGCTTCCGCTGTGTGATGAGACACCTAGCTAACAGGTGGGAAGCATTACTTTCGTCATTCACTGCGTGTGCTGCTAGTAATACGGAGTCATGTCAGAGCTTACTGAGCTTCAAAGAAGGCAAATTGTTGGTGCCCTCTTAGATGGTGTCTCTATGACTGAAGTTGCCAATTTATTTGCTGTTTCACAAGGTACAGTATCAAAGGTTATGACTGTATATACAGTTTCTGGTAGGGTTGCACAGATACCGGTATTGCTGATACCGAGTATTTTCACAAGCACTAGTACCGTGAAAAAGCTCCCAATACCAGAAACCGATACTTTGCGGTGCAATTTGTGTCAATGCATTTGCACTGCAAAGATTAGCATGCGATTTGAAAAGGGATGATGTGATTCCTGTCCAAACCGCATGCATTTTCCCCACTGCTCCTGTGTGAACCCAGGCTTGTCATAGCCTAAATGTGCACAGGATCGGTGCGGGACACCTCCCTCCTTTCCTCGCAGGGATGACAGTTTGGGCTAGAGGGCTTTTGATTGGTCAGCACCATCACATGGACGGTGCTGACCAATCAGATTCTGTCTAGCCCATCCGGTCATCCCTGCAAGGAGAGGAGAGAAAGCTTCTGTAGTTCAGAAGGCAGGCTCTGTGAATTCTGTGACACAACAGTGCCTACTCACAGGGCGTAGTGAATATGTGTCACATAATTAAACATAATTAAACATGTTGGATTCTTCACAAAGTAAGTTTACAAACAGCAAGATCAATCAGATTAATTGGAGTAGAAATAATTGAAATACAATGTAGAAATCAACGTATTATTAAAATTTTGACCGTAGATACTTAAAAAAGAGGGAAAAAAAGTATTTAAAATCTGCTGTCATTCAAGGATTTCTGTGCAAGGAAGTGCCTGCCACCTCATGGATCTCTCTCAATCTCTCTCTTTTGTTTACAGTCAGTTGGTTTGCCACGCACCGATAATATAGCTTTCCCTATATGAGATGTGACAGTTTAATTTCCGGATAAGCGTGTAGCACTATAGGGGAGAGTCATACAGTCAGTCGCACTCAAGCGTGTTCTGACATGATCTATCTTGCACTCGCAGGGGTCACAGACCAGTTGGTTCAGTCTTTACGGAGTAGTAGAAAAAATAACACGTGTGTGCGTTGTGCTGTTGGTGGAAAACGAGTGACAGGAATCTGGAGCAGCAGATTAACATAAAATTTTGTGTAAAAATTGGCAAAAGTGAAAGTGAAAATATAGCTCTGTTACAACAAGCTTATGGTGAACATTTCATGAAGAAATCAAGTGTTTTTGAATGATATAGGCGGTTTAAGGAGGGATGGGAAGATGACCATGATGACTCAAGAAGTTGGCAGCCAAAAACACAAAGGACGGATGCAAATGTGGACAAAGTATGAACCCTCATATGCTCAGATCCAAGACTGAGTGTGCAAATGGTGGCAGAAGAATTGAACCTGAGCAGGGAAACAGTGCGGCAGATTCTAACAGAGGATTTTGGAATGAGAACGATGTCTACAAAGATGGTGCCTCGAATCTTGTCAGAAGAGCATCACCTTATCTGATCTTTTGAAGTCTGAGGAGGTGTGTGATATTTTTTTTGAACAGTCCTTTCCAGGAATTACATTGTCACACCTCTTCTGTCCCTACTCTTCTCTGCCCAGTCACAGAAATAACTGCATTTTATAAATGGGTTTATTAAGTGTAAAGCATTCTGTGATTGGGCAAGGGGAGGCAAGGGCGAACAGTTCAACGGAAAATGATTGTACGGCTGCTGTTTCGAGCTGCTCAGCAAAACAGTAAATTGTAAAAAAGAAGAGAGAGATCCAGGGGGTGGCACACACCTGATTTTAAAAACATATTTTTTTACTTTTTTATTTTAAAAACTACTAGAGGTTGCCTGCACTGTACCTGTGATGTTTGTTTATACACTTTGGTGGACTCACAAAGTTCACACTAATGGAAATGTAAGGAGAGCAATATTGCCATTGTTAAGCCTAGTACACACGATCAGAAAATTGTATGCAAAATACCGCTTGCGAAAAATAATCTGACCGTTAGTACACAGCTTTCATCCAAAATTATTAGAAGGGACATGGAATAACATTTTGCTTGTACAATACCAGATTGTATGATTTTCGTTTAGTCAAAACAGTCTCCTATGGATT